ACCGGGCGGGTCGTGGTCGGCTTGTTGAAAGGGACCGACGGGGTGGAGGATACGAAGAGGACGGCGGGTATCCCACCCACCGACAGCTCTACCACCACCGGGATAGTGGTTAGGAAAAAGAGGGAGCTTTCCGGGGAGGGGTGGACATCGGTCACCCCACGGAAAGAAAACAAGAAGAGAAACAAGAAGAAGGCCAGGGAGGAGGTGGAACAAGCCGTCGTGCCCCCACCCGTGCAAAATGCATAGGTCGCACGGGCTGCGGAAAGGGCTGCCAGGGTGCGACCCGGTGATGCCCCTGCCCCTACACCTAGTGGTGCCAATCAAGAGGGGGGCACAGTCCCCCCTCCCCCGGCCCAAGGCAAACCCACAGAGGGAGGATAAGGGCCCGAAAGGAGGAAAATCCAAGGGGCCCAATCCTAGCAGTACGAAGGCTTGAAATAGAAAACGGGCCGAGGCGGTCATCATCGCGTCCTCGGCCGGGGCGAAATATGAAGAACTGGTAAACCAGGTGGCTAGCCACCTGGGCGCCCAGAGAGGGGCGCTCAAGCAAGTTAGAGGAACCGCAAGAGCGAGGTCCTTATAGAGGTCGACCAGAGCGGCGGGGCGGACGAGTTGCTCAAGGCCCTGGATGGTAGCATGGGGACAGCCGTCTCGGCACGAGCGATTGTCCCGAGAGCAGAGGTGGAGATTTGCGACCTGGACCCCATTGTGGGTAGGGAGGAGGTTTTGTCCTCCTTCTGTACCCACTTGGCGATCGAGCCCACGGGAAGCGTCAAGCTAAAGGTGCTCAGGCCAACCTCCTGGGGGACGTAGATCGTGGTTTTGGAGGTCCCCCTTAAGTGGCTGGGTAAGGTCACCGACGTAACCAAGATCTGCAACGGGATGGTTTCGGCCCGTTTGCGGGTGGTTTCGACGGTGACCCGATGCTATAGGTGCCACGCTCACGGGCACATTAGCGGGGCCTGTAAGGCAAAGGAGAGCCTGTGCCGGAAATGCGACCAGCCGGGGCACGACATGATGGGGTGTAAAGCCACTCCAGCATGTCGTTTGTGCCTGGACAAAAGGGCAACTCCTAAGGAGGCCGAGCATATTGCGGGGGCAAGAGCGTGCCTCATGTATAAGGAGTACCTGCGGAGGAGCGGGGGTAGGTCGGCGGTGTGATGCGCATCCTGCAGATTAACCGTAATGGCTGCAGGATGGCGCAGGATCTGCTCGCCATGACGGCGGAACGTCTTAAGGCTGACGTCATCATGGTGGCAGAACCGTACGATATACGCCCGGACTGGACAGCGTACCTGACCAAAAAGACCGCTGTCTGGATTACCGGCTTCGGCGGGCTGAGGGGGGATATGACGGGGGGGGGGGGGGGAGCGGCGGGCGACAGGTATGCCCTGGCCACGGCTGGGGGCACCCCGTTCGCCAGCTGTTACTATACCCCTCGGCTCGACCGAGAGGGGCTGGCTGCCAAGCTGGAGATGTTAGAGGCCGCCGTTATAGGAGGACACCAGCGCTGGGTTGTTGTGGGGGACTTTGACGCGAAGTCCCCCCCATGGGGATCCCCGAGGCTCGATCCGAAGGGCGCGGCCCTGTACGAGTCCTTAGAGAGGATGGGGCTCACCCCATTGGATAGTATGGGACCGTTCTCCTTCGAAATGAACGGCCGCACGTCCAAAACCGACGTGCTGACGTGCGACCCCGGTACTCTGAGGGAGCTGGCTTCCAGCGCAATCCTGGAGGAGTAGTCGGCGTCGGGCCACCGATACTTGTGGCACGTGTTCGGGCGGACCGGGAACGACCGGCTGCCCGAGCGGCGGTTTGCCAGGGGCTGGAGGGTCGAGACCCTCGATCCGGAAAGGCTTACTGCGTCCGCTGGACGTAGTGTTACTGGACTGGATCTGGGGGTCCCTCTGCAGCCCGAACAGATAGAGGGCGTCCTGGATGCTATCGAGCACGCGTGTGCAGATAGCATGAGACCCAGGATTCCCCCGCCTGTTAGAGGCACGGCCAAGTACTGATGGTCCCCTGAGATCGCCACAGCACGTCGAGGGGTGAGCTCCGTCCGTCGGAGACTCCAGAGGGCCCGCCAGCGGCGGAGGCCCGGGGTCTCCGAACTGTTGGAGGAGTATAGGGAGGCCCGGCGTCGGTTGAAGATATTAATCATCCAGGGCAAGGAGAGAGCCTAGAGGCAGCTGTGCGGCATGGTGGAAAGGGATGTGTGGGGCAGACCCTACCAGGTGGTCATGAATATGGTCACCCAGAGGGTCCCCACCCCCTGATGCCTGCCGCGCAGCTAGGTGGCATTTTGCCCCGGCATACGCGGACGCGGTGCCTCAAGAAAGATACCAGCTTGGCAGGGATCTGGGCGGATTCGTCCGTCGGCCGATCTTCCCGATCTCCTTGGAGGAGCTCCAAGGGGCTCTGGGGGGCACTCACCTGGGCAAAGCACCCGGTTTGGATGGGGTCCTGAGCAGAGTCATCGCCAAGGTGGCCAGGTGGAACGAGGGGTTGCTAAGGGCTACCCTGGGCGGTTGCCTAAAGCACTCCTACGTTCCACAGAGATGGAGAGAGCAGAGGTTGGTCCTCATAAGGAAGGAGGGGAAGGACCCTGCTTCTCCTTCGGCGTATCGCCCATTGTGCCTGCTGGGACACCTTGCGAAGGTATGGGAGAACTTGGTTAAACGCAGACTGGAGGAGGCGATCGGCCCGCACGTTCTGTCGCAACATGGCAGGTACATTCGGTATGATGATGCCGAGGGTGACGGACGCCGGAAAGTATACTGCGGTGTTTCGCAGGGATCAGTGCTCGGCCCCCCGTTATGGAATATTTTCTATGACGGCGTGCTGAGTCTCCGCCTTCCCAGGGAGTGCTCGACCATTGGGTATGCGGACGACGTCCTCATTGTGGTCACCGCATGCGGACCACGAGACGCTGCATCAGAGTATCCACCCTTCTATGCGGCAGATTGGTGACTGGATAACGTCGTTCGGGCTGGAGATCGCCCCCCGAAAATGGTTAGGCCCCCCGCTCCTGGTTCCGGTTGAGGGGCAGATGGTCCCTCCATCTGAGAGTGTGAAATATCTGGAGGTGACCTTCGATCGGTCACAGAACTTCAAAGTTCATATCGAGACGGTCACCACCAAGGCCACCCGGATGATGTATGCGCTGGCTCGGCTCATGCCTAACATAGGCGGATCGGGCCAACGGGCCAGCGCATTGTATTACCAGGTTATGGAGTCGGTGCTGATCTACGCCGCCTCCATTTAGGGAGGGGCTATGTGTGTGGCAGCCCGATGCCAGAAAATGGTCTCTGCCCAGAGAGCTGGCTTCATCAAGGTGTGTAAAGCGTACCGGAGCGTCCCCAATGATGCGCACCCGGTTATAGCGGGCATATGCCCCATCATCCTCAAGATAGAGGAGAGGGGGCTCATCTTTCGGCACCTCGAGGAGCATGCGGCCGATCCGCGGATCACCCCACCGGGGCGATGTGATACCTTCGGTTAAGTTCCGCCCCGAGGGGCTGTGGTAGAGAGGTTTAAGTCAGTAAGAATCTGACACTACGCCCCGAACAACATCTGGGGGGGGGGGGTGTCTTATGTAAGATTTCCCCTTCACCACAGAACGAAAAAAAACGCCCAGGCGTGGAGGAATTTCTTTGGCTCTCTGAACAGGGATGGTGATGGGGCGTCTTCGCTCTTGGGCGCCCCCGCTCACGGAGAGCCTAGACCCTCAATTTCTCGGGCGTGTCGTGGTCGCGTTTTTTCCCCCTGGCGGGGAGCCGACCCGACCGTTGCCCTGAACGGAGGGCTGCGAAGTTGATCGGCCCCCCGATGTGGGGGTCACAGATGAGGAGATGGCCGCGGTTATCCGGTGACTCCGGGGCAAGAATACCGCCCCGGGGCCGGATGGGACACCCGGCAAAGTCTGAACCTTAGCCCTGGGCGTCCTGTTCGGGAAGATGCAGGCACTGTTCTCCACCTGCCTAGAATCGTGGGTGTTCCCCCAACTATAAAAGAGTGGGCGGATGGTCCTGCTGAGGAAGGATGGAAGGTCCGCGGATTCTCCCTCCGCGTACCGGCCGATATGTCTCCTGGACGTGGTGGGGAAGATGCTAGAACGCATCATCGCTTCTCGCCTCTCCAGCCACCTGTCGCACGTTGGTCCCGATCTGGCTGACTGCCAATTCGGCTTCTGAGAGGGCCGGTCACTCTCGAAGAGTGCAGTCACCCGTGGCGGGGTGTGCATAGCGATATCACTGGATATCGTAAACGCTTTTAGCACCCTGCGCTTGAAAGCCATAAGGGAGGCACTAATTTACCATCAAGTGCCTCCCTATCTGAGGTAGGTGATCGGGGCCTATCTGAGCGACAGGTGGATAGAGTACCCGGGCCGGTACGGCATGGAACGGAGGGAGGTGGACCGTGGGGTCCCACAGGGCTCAGTTTTGAGCCCGTTGTTGTGGGACCTCGGCTACAATGCGGGTCCCGCTTCCCGACGGCGCCAGTCTTGTCTTCTTTGCAGACGACACGTTAGTGGTCGCCGTCGAGAGCACACTCGGGGGGCCATCCCCCTTGCATAGGTAGGGGTGGCGGCTGTCGTCGTGGGTCCGGGTGGGTGGAGTCTGTGCCGGGGAGCATGAGGCTAGACGCACGCTTTCCTGGCACTGGGGCAGTTGGTCGAGGTCACCATGCCTCTTCCCAAAACCTCCAGGTCAGGAGGCGACCTAGCTGATGTTCCCTTACACCAGGGTGGCGCTTCGGTGTCCTCCTGGGCGGGGAATTTCAGCGAAGTCGGCGGGCTGCGTCCGATCAAGTCCACTCACCGCACCTCCTCGTGGTGCTCCTGGGTCTCCGCTTCAGCAGTCGGCGCTTGTTTGCGAGAACCGACTTGCTGGATGCGGAGGGCGATCGCGGTGAGCTCGCATCTGGCGGATCCTCTGTTGACGACATGACAAGTTTGGAGGCATGGGTACGGCGCCCACCCGCAAAGGGGTGCTTTAAAAATGACCATGGACAACCGAGGATTAAGCGTTTACGGTGCAGAGGGCGTCGCATCCCTCAGTACCGGCGCGGTGAAGAGTAGTCGACCAGGCTACCTCGCGTCGTTATCTTACGACTGGGAGAACCCCAGGGTGGACCACCAGGCCCCCGGGTTAAGCAATGCGCCTGGGGAAGAGACGTCTGTAGCGGGGACCTCCTCCGCTGCGGCGTCCTCCGGCGTCAGCCCGTCGTCTGGTTGGAGAGGGTGCTCCGCTCCGGCCGCCTCGTGGCGGCTGCAGACGCGTCCGGCACTGGCGCTGACTGCGACGGGTCAGTCAGCTCGGTATAGTCGGCGCGCTCTCTGCAGTCGCCGCTAAGGAGGAAGCGAGGTCGACCCCCTCGCCTGGCGATGGACGTCGCGGACCATTTAGTGTCCTCCGTCCGGATCTCCAGGTCCTGCAAGCCCCTCAAGGGCGAAGAGGAGCTGGCGGCGGAGATGCGCCACGCGCCGACCGCCGAACTGGGCTCTCGGATTTTCGAGAGTTCGGAGGCGGTCCTGAGGGTTGCGAAATGCTCCAACAAACTTCAGGGGCCGATGGTGCGCCAGCTGCGAATTGCAGCGGACACCATCAGACACGCTACCGTCGAACAGGCGAAGCGTGTCAAGACCTTGGCCCGAGAGGTGGAGCTAGAGCAGACGGTCGCCGAGCTCAGGGCCCGCGTGACCGAGCTGGGAGCCCGGCTTGCGCATGGCCCGGTCGCGCCTGCCGCGGTGCCGTCGTTGCCGTCGCCCGTCGATCCGGCGATATCGGTGCCGGTGCCTCCTTCGCGGCCGAGTGCGTCCTCGACGACGAGGTCGAGTCGGCCTGCTGCCTCGAGGCCTGCGCCCGCCGGTCCGTCGCGGAAGCCTGCGATGGGCGGCGCGACCCTCGCGCCGGACGTGGACGTCGAGGGCCTCATCCGTCGCCTCTGCGGCGAGATGGAGGTGCGCCTCGCGGCGCACCTGGGGGCGGTCTCGCTGGTGGCCGCTGCGAGCGGAGCTCCGCGGCGGGTGCCGCGGGCCACGCAGCGCCCTCCTGCGGGTCCCTCCCAACCTGCCCCCTCGGCGGTGGGGAGTCACCCCTGGACAGTCAGCGGGGAGCCCGCGAAAAAAAAGACAGGCAGGAAGAGGAGCGAGAAGAAGCAAGCGGGTGGCGCCGCTGCCCATCTTGCTCCGGCCTTGCCGGGCCGAGACCGGCCCCGTGCCGCGCCTGCCCCGGCTGCGTCTCGGGCGAGTCTGCGTCGCGCCCTCCCTGACCCGTCCGGCCCCTGAGACATGGTCGAAGGTGCTCGGACGCAAGGAGAGGCGTCCGGGGCGGCACGCTCTCGCACTCGCCGGGGCGTGGCTGGTTGGAGCTCAGGCCGAGCCGCGGGTTCGTCCGGCGCGTGCGCCGAAGAGGGCGGCGGAATCTTTCACCGTCGCTCCGGGCAGCGCCATAACCTATTCAGAGGTCATGGCAAAGGCGGTCGCTGGCGTGCGGTTACGGGATGTCGGCGTAACCGGCATCCGGTACCGCAAGGGGCAGAACGGGTTCTCCATTCTGGAGATTCCGGGACCGGACAGCGCTGCCAGGGCGGACCGCCTGGCCGTTCGCCTGGCGGAGCTGTTCGCCCGCACGGACGTGAGGGTGTCCAGGCCGATTAAATCCGCCGAGGCGCGGGTTAGCGGCCTGGACGAATCCATCACGGCCGACGGCGTGGCGGCGGCAGTTGCCACGGTAACCTGGTACCGGGTGGAGGAGGTCCAGACCAGCATCATCCGGCGTTCCGGGTCCGGGCTGGGCATCGTCTGGCTCCGCTGCCCGGCGGCTGCCATGGAGCCCTCCTGGCGGCCGGCCGCCTGCTCGTCGGCTGGTCGTCCGTCCGAGTGGAGGCTTTGCCCGCGCGAGGCCTCCAATGCTTCAGGTGCCTGGAGCTCGGGCATTTGCGGCAGAAATGCCCCCTCGAAGCGGACCGCGGGGACCGGTGCTACAGGTGCGCCGGTGCGGGCTACCGGGCACGAGAGTGCACGGCGCCCTTGCGCTGCCCGGTCTGTGCTGACCTGGGCAGGCCAGCCGACCACCGGCTCGGGGTCAAAAAATGTGCCCCTCCACCGCCAAAGCAGGGGAGGAAGGCGCGCGGGAAGACCCTAAGTTCGAGCGAATCTAGGCCGGTCAATCGACTGGCGGCAATTGCGCCGGCGCTGGCGCCGGTTGAGACGCTGCAGGCGAGATCGCCTGCTGCGATGGAGGGAGGATCCGGCCTGGGGGAGGCCATAGACGTGGCCTAAAGTTCATGCCCCCGGTCTGGATCTTCCAAGCCAACCTCAATTACTCGGCCAGGACGCAGGACTTATTTGCTTACTGCCTGGCCGAGTTAGGTGTGAGGTTGGCGGTCGCCGCGGAGCCATACCGCGTCGCCGACCACCCGAACTGAGTGGTCAACGCGTTGGGCTCCGTGGTGATAGTGGGCGGCGACACTGCGGCCCTCCGCGTGTTCACCCACGGCGACGGGTTCGTCGGGGCGGAATGCGGCGGCCTGGCCCTGATCGGGGTCTACGCCCCTCCGAGTGCCTCCGTCGCGGCGCTCGAGTGGCTGCTCGACGGGGTCCGGGACACATTGTCCCGCTCTCCAGTAACCCGAACGCACGTGCTGGGCGATTTCAACGCCAAGTCCACGGCGTGGGTTGGCCCAGCAACGGACGCGAGGGGTCGGGCGGTGCTGGATTGGGCGGCGAACGCGGACCTTCGGCTGCTTAACCGGGGGTCCGTGAGCACGTGCGTGCGGTGGCTATGCGAGTCGTTCGTCGACTTGTCGTGGGCGACGCCTGCCGCCGCGCGTCTCGTGTCGGGATAGAGGGTAGCGGAGGAGGTGAAGTTCCTCAGTGACCACCTCTACATCCTTATGGATGTCTCCGCTGTCCCTCAGTACCATCCCGCTCGCGGACCCGCGCCGGGCCGACCGCCGCGCAGATGGGCGCTGGAGCGCTTGGAGAAGGACGCCCTGATGGCGGCCACCCTCGCCGCGTCCTGCCCGGATGCCCCGGTTGGACCGTTCGCGGACGTCGATCAGGAAGCTAACTGGTTTCAGGAGTCATTGACGGCGACGTGCGACGCCGCCATGCCCCGAGCCAGGAGGCTTCCGAAGCGGGCCGCTTACTGGTGGAGCGACGAGATTGCCGCGCTGCGTGCTATATGCAGCGCGGCGCAACGTCTCTTCACAAGGGCCCGCCGCAGACGGAACCGCGACCCGGCGAGGGAGGTGGCGCTGTATGAGGTCCACTGAGAGGCCGTCCCCCCTGTCACGGAGTCCCTCGACCCCCCCGTTCTGGAGCTGCAGTTTGCAGTTGACTGGCTGGCAATACGGTTTCCGCGGGGGCCGGTCGACGCTTGATGCGATCGACCACGTCCACACCCTCGCGGACCGGACAGTCTCCCGGGGTAGGGTGGCGTTGGCGATTAGTCTCGACATCGCCAACGCATTTAACACCTGCCCTGGGGCACGATCCGAGAGGCGCTCCGAGAACACGGAGTGCCTCCATATCTACGGGTCGTGTTAGCCGACTACCTGTCGGACAGGTGGATCGAGTACCCTGGCAGAGGCGGTGTGCCGATACGTTGGAGGGTCAGCCGAGGCGTACCCCAGTGGTCCGTTTTAAGACCCCTGTTATGGAACTTGGAGTACGACTCGGTGTTGCGCGGGCTCCTCCCACCCGGTGTCTTTGTGGTCTGCTACGCAGACGACACATTGATCATCGCGGTGGGTCGGGTTGGGACCAGGGTCCACAGGCTGGCGGAACTAGCGGCCGCGATCGTGGTCGCGAGGATCCAGGCTCTGGGACTTCGGATCTCGCCGCAAAAAACGGAGGTAGTCATGTTTCATGGCGGCTACCTCTGACGCGGTGGGTCCCCCAGACCTGGATCCGCGTGGGTGATGCGGCTGTCCGGGTCGAGGGCCGAATGAAGTATCTGGGCCTTGACCTGGACGGCCGGTGGCGCTGGGAGAGGCAGTTCGACCGCCTGGTCCCTCGAATTGAAGCGGTGACGACCCTGTTGGGTCGTCTCTTGCCCCATCTCGGGGGGACGAAAGAGAGGGTCCGCCGCCTCTACCTGGGGGTCGTCCGATCCATGGCCCTATACGGGTCATCCGTATGAGCGCGCGACCTGGTGGCCTGCCGTCGTGAACGGCACCTGCTGCGTCGCGTGCAGCGGCATATGGCTAACAGGATCGCGCGCGGGTATCGCACGATCTCCCACGAGGCGGCGGCCGTCCTGGCGAGGGTCGTCCCCTTTGATTTCCAGGCGGAGGCACACGCCGACGTGTATCGGCGTGTGCAAGATCTCCGCCGGAACGGGGGCGATCCGCAGGACGGGGCGGTCGAAGCCTACCGGCGCCAAAGGTGGCAGCTGGCCCGCGAAAAGTGGCGGCGCCAGCTCCTGGAGAGCGGCGCCGCCCGAAAGAGGACGGTAGCGGCGGTCCTGCCGAGTTTCGATGCTTGGCTGGACCGTTGACACGGGCGACTCACGTACCGGCTCACGCATGTGCTTACCGGACATGGTTGTTTCGGTGAGTACCTGCACAAGGTGGGGGCGGAGGGGTCGCCGCGTGCCACCAGTGCGGCGCGGAGCTGGACTCCGCGCAGCACTTACTGGAGGAGTGCCCGGAACTCTACTGTCTCGCGGAAGGAGGATGACGAGCGGGATCGGGAGCGCACCGATCCCGCTCGCATAGAGAGGAGGAGGTTGATGCGGGCCAGGCGACGGCGGCTAGCTGCCGCCCCTGCCGCAGGGGGGACTGGTCCCCCCCCCGTAAAACCTCACCTCCTCCTGGCAGTCTGCCACGTAGGGCGGCCCTGCACACGTAGCCGGCGAGCTCAAGCTTTCGGCTCGCCGACTGCCAGCAGGACCGCCGGGCAGGGGGGGAGGTTCGTCACCCGACGCCCCCCCCCCCCACTCCTTTGGAACTCCGTTGGCCCCATAGCGGCATGATTCCCTGTGGGTCGGGGAACAGAATACGCCCACAGTAATTCCTGCTTGTCGTAAAAGGCGACTAAAAGGGACAGGCGAGACCGCGGGTTGTGGCACCCGCGGTCAGGTGGGGAGGTATTCACTCCTCACCGGAGATGGCGCTCCTCCCTACGTTGCGGGGGGAGAGGCGCGGGGGGCACCAGTAGCGTTCGTAAGAGATCTCGGTGCCCCTCCCCAATGCGCCGTGGCCGGCCACCGTGAGGTTTTAGTGGGTATTCCCCTTGATATCAAATCAAAGGACGAGTCCCACACTACCTTCTTCTTATAAGGGGGCGTGCGTAAACACATTTCCTCACGTAACAAAAAAAAAAGAGGGTGGAGCCTGTGCCGAGGTCGGGAGCCGATTTAAATACCTCGGCTTTGTCCTCGACAAGCACTGGCGTTTCGAGGCGCACTTCGACCGTCTGGTCCCCCGTATGGAAAGAACGGCGGCTGCGCTTGGCCGCCTTTTGCCCAATATCGGGGTATCTGGGGACCGTGTGGGCCGCCTATATATGGGAGCAGTGCGGTCTATGACGCTGTACGGGGCCCCAGTATGGGCTTCGGACGCGATGGCAAGCCGGCGCATTAAACTACGTGGCGGCGCAGGCTCTGGCGGGTGAAGTGCCCTTCGAACTGCAGACGGTTATTCTATGCGCGCGTGCAGGCTACCCGCCTTGTTCGGAGGACTCCGCCGGAGCCAGACACGGAGACGGTCGAGGAATACGAACGCCAGGTCTGGCGACTGGCGCTCGCGAATTGGCGTCTGGAGCTGAGCTCCCACGCCGGCGAGCGCGTCAGAGGGGCTCTCCTGCAACACCTCAAAAGGTGGCGGGAGAGGTGGCACGGAAGGCTCAACTACCGGGCGACGTAGGTATTCACCGGGCATGGCTGCTTCGGTGTCTACCTGTGTCGCATAGGGAAGGAAGCGGCGGCAGCCTGCCACCACTTTGGCGAGGAGGAGGACTCGGCGCAGCACACGCTGGAGGAATGCCCCGCCTTTTCAGCGTAGCATCGAGTTCTCGGGCCCAAATCGGGCATGACCTCTCGCTCCTAGCAGTAGTTTTGGCTATGCTAGAGAGCGAGGGGAACTAGTGGGCGATGGTCTCCTTCTGCGAAGAGGTTATCTCGCAGAAGGAGGCCGCAGATCGGGATCGAGAGCTCACCGATCCCGGTCGGTTGTAGACAACCTCCGCCGCCAGCTGATCACTGAGGTGAATGGCGACGGGAGAGGGGGGACGGCAAGCTGAATGCCGATCCCCCTGGCGGCCTGGGTATGTCAGAAATG